GCAAAGATGAGCGCTTTGGGCTTCCTGGGCAGACTTGAATCTCGACTCTACGACTACCCGAAGTCGAAAGCGGATGAGTACATCAGCGAAGCGCGGGAGTACATGAAGCTCAAGCTGAAACAGCTGCACGACAAGCAGGTTGCGTGAGTATTGACACACCTATTGGCCAAACAGAATCTCGAAAATTTCGATGCCTAATCGTGTTTCATGTGGATCTTTGCAGGGAGGGCACAGATCAGCACCTAAACTCTTTGGACGATTGCTACACGGCGAAGCAGTACACGGAGCTGCACAAAAAGCACTTTCTCAGGGAAATCAAAGAGTACTATCAGAGAGCCAGGACTACACTATCAGAAATTCTCTGGCGGTGTTTTGCGGTGCATGTGATGATTCAGCTCGCACACCAAATGTTGGGGAGGAGATGCAGCATTCGTGCTCTTCGATTCGCCAACATGTTTGTCCGCAGGACGCGTAGCAGCACTGCCGTCCCCGATCGCCAGCAGGATCTCCCTGTCATGGTTTTCGCCTCTCGGAAATCGAAGACGAATTCCACCAACAGGCTGACCCACCAATTCTTGGCCCGGCACATCAACTTCGCGCTCTGCGGTGTTGGTGGCCTTTTCCTGTGGATTCATTTCATCTACGACCTCGTGCCGCTGCGATTCGGCCCGAACATCGTTCCGCCCCTGGACTTCAGTGACCCACTCCGGTGGTCAAAGAAGCACATTTTTTTCCCATTGAGGCACGGGAGGGAACAACTGCAAGAAGAGCTTCCGTACGTAACTCACAACAACTGGATTAACTAGGTCATGAACGACGTAGTGAAACCACGCTGGCGGATGAGCAAAAAGACCCACGCGTTTCGTCGGTCGGGAGCCCAAGGCCTGAGCGACGATTGCTGTCCCGACCAAGACATCAACGCCCTCAGAGGCTGGGAGCAGGGCGAGATGAGAAAATCCTACGTCGTGGAAATTCCGTTTTGGCCAGTGTTGATGATGGCCGGATTCAGTGGGGAACCAGGAGATTACTACATTGGCAGAGCGCAGGCCGAGCTTGACGACCCTGTCGAGTGGAAAGAATTGCAGGCCCTCTTCAAGAAGTACATCTTCCCGCGCCTTGAATCTGATTTGGTGAAGGTATCCTTTTGGTAGTATCGTTTTGTGTAGCTTATTCTAATTGTGTAGGGGTTGGCAGGGTTTAATATCATGTTTGCCCTTACATTTCAGGTCGACGAGTACAACCGGAAAAATCCGACAAAGATGCACCACTCCGGCAGTAGTTTTTTGGAGGCTCTGGCAGACCTTGGGCGTGACATCGTTGCACAGGACCTTGCCATGTGGTGGTTCTACTGCCCCGACCATGACAAGCAGTTCGACGGTACACAACGGCCATGCAAGTGCCAGCGCCACTCGTACACGGACATGAATCCGCTCTGCCGCCACCCACTGTTTCTGAAGTGGGCCATCAAAGTGGCAATCATGCACAAAACTGGCATTGAACTTCGTGAAGCCAGTGGCAGCTCTGCAGCCGCTGTAAGTATAATAGTTCTCTGATCGGTACTTCCATTTCGACATATCTGACAATGTCTGAAAACCCTCGTCCGTTATTCCGCAGGATGCGATCTAAAAGCTGAACTCTACGCGAAAGTACCTGAAGCTCCTCGCAGAGAACAACTTGTTCCGGACGGAATGTGGTCAGAAGGATCACGGGATTGGAGAGCTGAAGAACAGACTCGCTGAAAGCGAAGAGAGGGAGAAAAAAACAGCCGTTGAAGTCGAGCAGCTCAAAGAGGAGCTGGCTGCTCTGAAGGCGCATGCCCCGAGCAACGCTAACGCACAGGCTGCTGGTCCAGGGACGAGCGCGTCGGCAAAGGTGGAAGCTGGTGGAGAGACTCTGAAGCCTGAGAAGCCACAAGTTACCACTCCAGTGAGGGAATTTTTCGACCTTGTCATTAAGCCCTAGCGGGACTCGAAGACGGTCGCAGCGGCATGGGAATACTGGGTCAAGGAGACATTTTTTATGGGCGGAAAGACTCTGTGCCAGCTTTTGTTCGAGAAAGGTTTCTACTCGACTTTCTCGTATGTTGAGAAGGGTGTGAAGGACGACAGCGGTGACAAAAAAATGAAGCGGATGAGGAACGTGATGCTCACCGTCGAGAAGTACAGGGCTAATGCATCGGAGGAGGCGACCCGCACTGCCATTGCGAAGAGCCAGAAGGACGTAGTGGATCGGAGTTCGATCAGCGCTCTGGCGGATGGTGTGATTCTCGGAGCGGAGCCACCCCCGAAGAGGGGTAATTCCGGCAATGATAACACGACGGAGGGCAAGCGCCGCAAGGTTGGGTACCTCTTCTTCGCCGCCAGGATGGAAGGCGACGCTTGGGGAGTGAAGATGTTTGGGGAAGATGATTGGAAGAACATCAAGATCGTGGAGCCACAGAAGCTGGCTAAACTGAAGTAGTTTTCCAAGTTTTTCTACCAATCTTCGTATCCATGTTTGCCTGATCATCCCTTTTTGGACCTCTTTTCTACTTTTCTCTTGACTTTGATCCCTCTTTTCCTTCTCTTCTACTGTGCTCTAGACTGAATCTTCGTTTAGAGTTACATTTGTGTCTTCGGAACATCGGAGATTAGAGCGGGTTTAGGGTTAAAAATTTTACCATCTATTCCTACACTCCTACTTTGGTCCTGACTAAATCCCCTTTTAGCGAGGCAATATTGTCGTTGGACCATCGTGGTTTAGTGCGGGCTTTGCCAGGAAAATTTACACGTCTTTCGTCGAACGCATCGCACATTCTACATTGACGTGTTTGAATAGTACCAAGTGGTTTAGAGATATCTTTCCTCCACGTCTTATGAGGAAGGTGTTAGAGCGAAACATTTATTGGGTTTGGGAACAAATTGTAGCGGTGTGAAACAATGCCTCGAAAACCGCCCGGAACCGAGCTCACCAGCCTGTCGGGGGCGGGAAGCAAGCTGACGCAGCTCCGTGTCACCGAGCTGGCTCGTAAACCGCCTAACACAGCACACCCCCTCGCGTGACGAGGACGGGGACCACCGGCCTCGCGAGCCTCCGAGGCCCGGGCCGGGCCTCGCAGGGGCCTGGCCAGGCTCACCAGGTCCCCATGTGGAAACACGCGGCAATAACCCGATAATGCGGGAGAACGAAAAAAGGCACCACGCGAGCCACACCCCTTGCTGTGATCGCTCCTGCTGTCTCCCCTGTTTGCTTTCTTTTTTTCTCTTTCCCCTCCATTTGTTTCCCTAAGGCTCATACGATGCTTTCACGTGGTATGAAAACACAGTAGACAGGCTGCGTGAGTTGGTGCTCCCTACGTGTATATTATGTTCCCTAACTGTTTTTTCGCGTCACTGCTGTTGTACCCCACTTGTAGTCGTAATTTCGAAACTGTTAACGAAACGCACCAAGCGCAGGATGCGATGTTACACTGCGGGTGAGCACGTGGCACCCATACGACGCACCAGAGTGTGCATGGGAGCCGACAGAAACCGGGGTGCACTTCACGAGGCAGAGGGCACGAGGACCGAAGGAGGGTATAAAAGGCCATCATGCCTCATTGTTGTATTTTGTTTTCTGTTTTCATTTCGTTCCTTCACTCCGCCCACTCTGCGCAAACCCTCATCCTCGCCACTGCCTCAACGTCGTTGAAGGTATGCGTGCTCGCTTTGAAGATAGACTCTTAGAATCAGTGTGCACGGCTGAGTTTTCTAGGCGCGCAAAGTCCAACGCGGAGGCGTGAGCTTGCGTTCATTATCATAGGTTTTAGTGCTCGTTTCCTACGGTTTCTTGACCTCGTGCGGTTTTCGTGTCTGCGTTTTCGTGTAATTCCGGTGTAGTATCTTTCCGCGTGCTTGTATCGTATTGGTTTTTTTCGCGGATTCGCCTTCGCGTCATTGTTTTCTCCGATAATTTTCGCGTCTAACATTTCCCATCTCGTTTCCGCGGGATTGTGTCTGCGTGGCGGTCATTTCGCGTTCTCGATTCCGCGGGTGAGTTTTATTGTTGTATTTCCGCGTGTTCGATTCAAGTGCCCTTTTTGCGCGTGCAGAATGCTTCGCGAACGCAGGAATCTCGTGGACCCCATGGAAGCCCTAAAGGGGCACGACGTTGTTATCACGGCTGGTGGCGCAACTGTTACTCTCTCAGGCGATAACAAGGACATCGTGATAAATGAGGACGCTGGCTTTTCCGCACAGTGCCTTGATTTCGCGTGTCTGTACGTAAATAACGAAGCAAGATTTTCGCGTGCATGTTTCTCGCGCTTTTTCCTAACGTCTTCGAGTTGCTGAATATTCTTCGTCCTCTCAACAGCCATGTGCATGGGAAGCATCCTCCACCTTTGGAGCGGACGTCTGTCGTGTTCCCGAGTCAGGACCTTGTGCCGCTGTATCGACGTGGACTTGCTTTCCAAGTCTCTCGTTGTGTTTCCGATGTGGTCTAGGTGGGTGATTACTTTCGCGGGTTCTGTCTTTATATGCACTCGCGTCCAATTTCAACCACTTATTGCTCCAGTTTTTTCGCGTGCAGTATGGACGATGGCAGTTGTCATTGCAGCATCCTAGTTGTCATCCGGCCCAACGACCTCGTTTCGTCTGACGATGAGAATTGCGGCATGCGAATTATTGACATCGAGTCAGTGTGCGGCGAAGATCGATAGGCTAAGCTGGCGGACGATGTGGTTCAGTGAGTTTCGTTCGTCCTCTAATCCGCTTCACCGGGGTTGCTGTTCATGGGTGTCATTTGCGTCTTCCCGCTGGTGGTTCGCCCGGATGGTTGAGAAAGCAGCTGAGAAGTTGGCTTCGGATTTGAAGATGCTGGTTTGTTCACGGGTGCCGCACCTGAAGCGAGAGTGGATGGTACGGTCCTGCTCCTCTAATCCGCGTAAGCTGTGCTGGTCGTGCTTCTCACGTCTGTATCATGTTGTTTTTCCGTTCTTCACAGGACCTGACCCCGGTCACCGATCCGAACGCCAAGAGCAGATGATTGTCGTGCACGGGTTCCAGCGCGTGCTGGCAGATTGGGATCATTCGTCCGCGAACCGTTTGACTGTTGTCCGTGCCGCCAAGACGAAGTCGCTGAAGTCCATGCGGGACAATATCGTCAAGCACGCGGGTGAGCTGGCCGTCGACATCGTGTTAACCGAGCCCGCGGTGGGCCGAACTTCGGGCGCTCGCGCAACGGCGGCCCACGCGCCCCCCCCTGCAGACAGCGCAGCCGATACCGGTGCGGGCCCAACGGAACCCCCCCACGCGAGTAGGATGCGGAGATAACTACTACAACGGGAGCTAGACTACGGGCTGGGCACGAGTGCTCGTGTGATCTCTGCGTTCGTTGGTCCTTAGTTGTTTTCCTAGTGCACACGCTGCTTGCTAGTTCATGGGGCAAATTGGCAGGAGTTTCACTAGAGAAAGTTGACAACAATGGTACAATGAAGTTGGCATGGCAAGACTACATCAGAGCTAGCATTCAGGTCGGTCGACTGCCAGCACAGCATGGTCGACCGCGTTCCAGCACGACTTGGTCGACCGCGCTCCAGCAGTGCAAAGTCGACGGCGTGGCAACGCTGCAGGTCGACGGCGTGCCAGCGTAGCTCCCGTAGTACAGCATCGCACCAGCTTCGCAGGTGCTCGCAGATGATTGGTGTGCTGAGCCTTGTCACCTGCACAGCGCACACACCAAGTCGACCTGGCGCTGACGACTGCATCTGATCAGCCACGTCGACCTCGGGATACCACCACCGAGGTCGGACTCGCCAACTTCGCCCAGGCGACCGTCGCACTCCTCCGCAGAACCTCGTCACCCAGGTAACCTGGTCGACCGGGCAACCACGTTGACCAGCTGCTCCTGTATGTGCCCGTCGACCTCCCAAGTCGACGACCACCCCAAGTCGACCTCACCAGGTCGACCACACCCCTGGTCGACCAGATCCAGGTCGACATCAAACCTGGTCGACCAGCTCCACATCGACCAGCACAGCTGTCAGCCGACCACCCAAGTCGGCTGCCCCAAAGTTGGCGTCACCAAGTTGACGCCCTCCGCAGGTCGACCTCCCTGAAGTCGGCGCCACCCTGAAGTCGGCGCCCGTGCAGTGGCCCCCGTGCAGGTCGACCTCCTCTTCAACCAGCTCGCCCACTGCTGCAGGTCGGCTGCTCCCCTCACACCCGACCACGAAGTCGGCTCCGCCCAAGCGAGGACGGGGCCAACACACAACTCCCATTGACATAGGACACCTGATGGCGAAAACGCAGAAACGGCTACCGAGGTTGCGGGTGATTCTTCCGCGGGAGCCAACAGGGAGGTCGGTGCCGCGGAAAAAGGAAAAGACCGTTCTGCGGGAACCGTGGGAAAGGCCCTCGCCATCGACTACCGTGGCAGTGATGATGTTGGAAAGGGGCCGCGCAAGAGCGGCAACCGTTCTTTCGAGGAGCTGTCTGTTTTGCCTCACCTCACGCTTGTGCACGAGGTAATGCGTCTCGAGGCCGACGCCCGTCGGGCGAAGGACATGGCCAAGACGCAGGAAAGGCAGTTGGCACAGCAGCGGGAGAAGTTGTCGGAGTTGATGGGTTGGATAGCGGAGAACCAAGAAGCCTTTGAGCGCGGGATGTTAACCATGAGCCGCATCGAGGCCCGCCTCGACGAATCGGATAAGCGCGGGCACCGTGATGTTGCTGACGCGGTCCAGGAGATCCGTGTGGAGAGGGTGAATGCGATGTCGCAAAGGGAGACGTCAGCGCTCGCACTTGTACGTGTTGAGGCGACTGCCTTGGATCTGAAAACCCTTGTGACTTTCGCGATCAACGATGTCGCTGAGCGGACCCGCACGGAGGTTTGGCGCAAGCTTGTCGGCCTCGAAGACTCTGTGGCACGGGCGGCGGAGCGTGGTGCGGGTGCGGGGGCTATGATCCTGAGGACAGTGATGGGGAACATTGGGAGAAACGCTGGGTCGACTGCCGACCCCGTGCATTCCGCGGGTCGGGATCCCAAACTCGGAGCTGGTGCAGCGGGTGATGCGAGCCTGCCACTGATGCTTGCGGGCGGTGGTGAGCCAGTGCGTCATGACAAGCGCTCTGTTCCTCAGGTTGCCGAAGGCGAGGCTTCCAACCGCGCGAAGAAAGTGAAGAGTGCTGGTGGTATCACTTCTGCTGGCCCGAAAGAGGCCGCTCCTGGGGTGGCTGCTTCGAAGGACGTTGTTGTTGCTTCTAGCAGGCTGGCGATTGGAACGAAGGGCACGAATGAGGGGGCGGAAGATTCTGTTGGCGACGAGGAGGACAAGGCGAGGGAGGCGTGGAGGAAGTATCTTGCGGCGCGGGCAGCGGCGAAAGGTGCTGGTCCTGGGGCTGAGGTGGGGAACCCTAAGAGTGCCGAGATCGTTCAGACGCCGATGGTCGGTGTCCGTTTTAATCCGGGCCAAAAAAACCCCTTCTGGGTTGAGCTTCATCACGGTGGCGAGCGCTTCTATCTCGGCTCGTTTTCGCGTGCTGGGTCCGCGCGCTATCAGTACGCGGTGGCATCGACCATATGGCACGACCGCGTGCAGAAGTCTGAGTTGGTGCTCACAGACCTGAAGGAGGAGGAATGGACACTCGGTCTCGATCTCGCCCGAAAGATGACCGCGGTGTCAAACATTATATGTATATATTGTGTAGGCTATAGTGGGTTTAGCCATAGGGGGTACAACAAACTTAGGGTTTCCTACTTGTACCCAACTTTCTGCTAGTTCATTCATCCCAGTTCTCTCTTAGTTTCTCACATGGTATTACGAGCCTAGGTCGTAACCTAGGACCGAACGATGGGCCCACCGTTTTCGCATAGTCGCGCCCTAGCGCGCCTCGCCTAGTCGCGCCCTCGAGCGCCCTCCTCTCTCCCTCACTATCGCGCGCCCTAGCGTGCCTCTCGCGATCGGCCCCGCCTAGCCCGCACGCCCTAACGTGCCCCGTGCGATCGGCCCCGCCCACCTCGTACGCCCTAGCGTGCGACCCGCGCAGCACCACGCGCGTCACCTGCCCCGTGCGGCCCCACGCGCTCGCTGCCCCGCGCGCCCTTGCGCGCCTCTTACGGACCGGCCCCGCCCCTTAGCGCGTGCCCTTGCGTGCCCCGTGCGACCGGCCCACACCCACCCGCGCGCCCTTGCGTGCCCCTCGCGTACCGGCCCCACCCAGCTAGCCCGCCCTTACGTGCCTAGTGCGACCAGGCCCCGCCCCACTAGCCCGCCCTTGCGTGCCCCGTGCGACCAGGCCCCGCCCTCGCTAGCTCGCCACTTCGTGCCCCGTGCGGACCGGCCCCGCTCTGCCCTGCACGCCCTCGCGTGCCCCACCTCGAGTAGCCGCCGCCTAGCCGAGCCGAGCCGCCCCACCGAACCGCGTCACCCGGCCCGAGCCGCGCCGCCCTACCGAACCGCGCCGCCCTACCGAGCCGCGCCGCCCTACCGAGCCGCGCCGCCTTACCGAGCCGCGCCACTGCTGCGGTCACTGCTACTGACACTACTGCTGTTACTGCTGCTACTACTGCTACTGCTCTTACTGCAACTATGGCTAGCCCTGCTGTGCTCGCTTTCGATGCTGAGGGCCGCCCGCTGAAGTTTGACACCTGGCTAGATGACTTGCACCTGTTCCTCCAGCTCACTGCCAAGGAGGATATCTCGCTGTACGATCACGCACTAGGACTCGCTGCTGCCCCTGCTGCTACTGCTGACAGTACTGCCCGCTCCCAGTGGCAGACTCGTGACGCCCACGCTCGCTTCGCTATTCGCAACTCCCTGCCGGTAGATGAGCGCGAGCACTTTGGCCAGCACAAAACTGCGCAGGCACTGTACACTGCTGTAGTTGCACGCTACTCCTCACCTGCCTCTGCTGCGCTAGGCCGTCTCTCGCTCCCCTACCTGTTCCCAGACCTGTCCGCTTTCGCCACAGTCGCTGACCTCATCACGCACCTCCGCACTAGTGAGGCCCGCTTCCGTGCCGCTATGCCCGCTGAGTTTCTTGCCTCGCACCCCCCCCCCCGCTCTGGCTCACTCTCTACCACCTGGTCACCCGTCTCCCTGACTCTCTTCGTGCGGTCAGGGACCACTTCCTCGCTCGCTGCCCCACTGAGCTCACCGTTGACCTGCTCGAGAAGGAACTGCTTGCAGCTGAGACTAGCATAGTCGCTGTAGCTGCCTCTCGTGGCGACCCCCGCACCCCTTTCTTCGAGGGGTGTTCCCCTTCCCCCCTTCTCCCCTCCGTTGCCTCTGCTGCTGCTGTCGACCTAGTTGGTACTGAGCAGGTCGGGACTGCGTCCGCTCCGAGCTGGCGCCGCAGCGGCAAGGGCAAAGGGGGCAAGGGAGGTGGAGGTGACGGCGGGGGAGGCGGTGGTGGGGGCGGTGGCGGCGGTGGGGGCGGTGGCGGGGCTGGAGGGGCTAGTGGCAGCGGTGGGGGTGGTGGCGGCAGCGGCGGAGGAGGTGGCCGGGGTGGGGGCGGTGGTGGGGGCGGCGGTGGGCGCGGCGGCGGCAGGGGCGGTGGTGGTCGAGGTGGTGGCGGCGGTGGTGGTGGTCGTGGAGGCGCTGGCGGTGGCCAGAGCCAGCAGCACACTCCGTCGTCCCAGGAGCTTCGTGAGTGGTACTCTCAGCACGGGGGGGGGGGGGGGGGTGGCCTTAGCTGCACGTACGTCATCCGCACTGGTGATCGCACTGGCCAGACGTGTGGGAGGGCGCACACCACGCAGCGCTGCTTCTCCCGCCTCGACGACGCTTGGCGCACTTAGTTCCCTACTGCCACTGAGCTGCCCCGCTGGGCTGACCTGATGAGGAAGAACATTGATATCTATGCTCTTGACTTTGATGCTATTCTCACTGCCATGTATGTGTTGTCTACTAGTGGAGAGGGTGATCAGTACCTGCGTGTTCCGCCCGACCCGGGCATTCGGACCAGTGAGGCTGCCGCTCTAGGTGCTAGTGCGTCTGTTGCCCTAGGTGCTGGTGAGGCTGCCGCTCCAGGTACTCGCGTGTCTGCTCCCCCAGGTGCTGGTGAGGCTGCTGCTCTAGGTGCTAGTGAGTCTCCCCCCCCTGGTACTGAGTCTACTGAGGCACTGCACACCTTCACGCTGGACTCAGGTGCTTCTCGCTGTTTCTTTCGTGACCGCACTGCCCTTGAGCAGCTTGCTCGGCCAGTTGCTGTCTCTCTCGCAGACCCCTCTGGGGGTCCGGTCATTGCGACCTCCTCCACTGTCCTTCCTTGTCCGGCGGTTCCGTCGGGCACACTGTCAGGTCTCCACCTCCCCTCGTTCTCTACGAACTTGGTGGCGGGTTGTGCGCTCCAGGACGGGGGTGTCCACCAGTTCACCCCTGCCTACGAGCGCGTGACACACTGCACGTGTGCTCGGACGGGCCGTCACCTGGCTACCTTCACTCGGCAGCCGGGGTCGGACCTGTACACACTGACCACTGAGTCCCCTCAGGTAGCTGCGTCTGCGTCTGCGTCAGGTCAGCTGTCGGCCCCCTGCTCGTGTCGCTCTCTAGCACACGAGACCGTCCTCTGGCACCACCGCCTTGGTCACCCGTCAGTGCAGCGCCTTCGTGGCATGCACAAACGGTACCTTGTCTCTGGTCTTCCCAGGGTACTCCCTCCCCTCCCACCCTCGCCTGCTCCTCCCTGTCTTCCCTGTGTCGAGGGGCGGCAGCGCGCCGCTCCTCACTCCTCCTCGTTTCCCTCGACGACTGCTCCCTTGCAGACGCTCCACATGGACGTGTGGGGCCCAGCCCGCGTCCGTGGACAGGGTCAGGAGAGGTACTTCCTGATCGTTGTTGACGACTACTCGCGCTACACCACGGTCTTCCCCTTGCGCACTAAGGGTGAGGTCCCTGATGTTTTGATCCCTTGGATCCGCGCTTCTCGTCTCCAGCTCAGCAACCGGTTCCACTCGGACTTTCCTGTCCTGCGTCTGCACTCTGACAAAGGTGGTGAGTTCTCCTCCGACCTCTTGGCAGCCTACTGTGCGGAGCACGGCATCCGCCAGTCGTTCACGCTTCCGGCCTCTCCACAGCAGAATGGGGTTGCTGTGCGCCGCATTGGCTTGGTCATGGAGGTCGCTCGTACCTCCTTGATCCATGCGGCTGCCCCCCACTTTCTGTGGCCGTTTGCGGTCCGATACGCTGCGCATCAGCTCAACCTCTGGCCCCGTGTCTCCGTTCCGGAGACTTCGCCGACACTGCGTTGGACAGGAGAGGTTGGCGATGCGTCGCGTTTTCGGGTCTGGGGATCTCGAGCCTTTGTTCGCGATACGTCCGCGGACAAGCTCTCCTCCCGCGCTGTTCCTTGTGTCTTCCTTGGCTTTGTCCCGGACGCGTCTGGTTGGCAGTTTTACCACGCCACCTCGCGCCGTGTCCTGCCCTCTCAGGACGTCACTTTTGACGAGTCGGTGCCCTACTACCGCCTCTTCCCCTACCGCACTGCCCCGCTCCCCCCCCCGCCTCTCTTCCTCGCGCCAGGTGCTGCTGTGGTAGACCCCCTCCCCCCTCATGGTGCCGCTCCCTCAGGTGTGTCCCAGGTAGACCCGGTTGAGCCTGTCGAGGTAGCTGTCGACTCTCGTTCTGCTAGGGGTGCTGAGCCTGAGCGTGCGGAGCCTGGGGGTGCGGAGCCTGGGGGTGAGGAGCCTGGGGTTGCGGAGTCTGGGGGTGCTGAGTCTGGGGGTGCGGAGCCTGCGGGTGCTGAGTCTGGGGGTGCTGAGTCTGGGGGTGCTGAGCCTGGGAGTGCTACACCTGGAGGAGCTCTCTCCTCACAGCAGCTGCGTGAGTGGTACTTACAGTACTGCAGCCTCGGGAGGGGTGCTTCTGGAGCTAGGAGTGCTGCTGGAGCTGGTGCTCGTGCTTCCCCTCCTAGGCGGGAGCCGCCCTCTCCCCAGCGGCTCCGAGAGTGGTACGCTCGGCGCTGCAGTCTCCGGAGTGGCGCTCCTAGTGTCGCGGACCCTGGTGCTGGAGCTGCTGGCGGTGCTGCTGGTGCTGCTGGAGCTGCTGGAGGTGCTGCTGGTGCTGGTGCTACTGGCGCTGCTGGAGGTGCTGCTGGTGCTGGTGCTGCTGGAGCTACTGGAGGTGCTGCTGGTGCTGGAACTGCTGGAGGCACTGCTGCTGCTAGCGGTACTGCTGGTGCTGCTGGAGGTGATGCTGGTGCTGGTGCTGCTGGAGCTGCTGGAGGTGCTGCTGGTGCTGGTGCTGCTGGAGCTACTGGAGGTGCTGCTGGTGCTGGAGCTGCTGGAGGTGCTGGTGCTGGAGCTGCTGGAGCCACTGGTCCTGGAGGTGCTCGTACTGGAGGTACTGGAGCTGCTGGGACTGGGCCTGCTGAGGGGGTTGGAGATGGAGGTGCTGAGCGGTCGCGGCCGTACTACGTTCCGCAACTTCAGCAGGTTCTTGCTCTCCCGCCCTCTACTGGTCCTACTCCTCCCCTTCTGAGTCCACCGTTTGTCCAGTCGCAGTCACAGTTACAGCCTGCCTCTCCGCTGCCTGCTCCTTCTCCTTACACTGCGCCGACGGGTAGTCTTACGGAGCGTCGTGAGCCTGGGTCTCGTCCTCCGTTGCCTGAGTCTAGTCCTGCGTCTCCTGAGTCTCGTCCAGAGTCGCCTGTCCGCGCTGCCCGCACTGGTCGTCGTGTTCCGCGTGAGCGTCCTCCTCCTGTCCTTGGCAGTCACTATATGACCCTGCGTCCTTCCACTGCTCCACAGCGTGTCCCTCTGCCGTCTCCTCCGGCGTCCTCTCTTCCTGACGTTGCTGACCCGCCGTCAGACCTTGCTCGTGCTGCCAGTCCTACTGTCGCGCGTCTCCTTGCCACTGTTGTCACTGACCCTTCCTTTGAGTCCTCTGCTGCGTCTTCTCTAGTCGCTGAGCTTGTTGACTTTGCTGCCGCCTGTCGTCTAGACTACGCCGCTAGCCTTGTTGCTGAGTCTGAGTCTTTCTGTCCTCCGTCCGTCGGGGGTGAGTGTGCTCTTGGCACGGACGTCCTTGAGGACAGACAGGAGGAGTTTGAGTGCTTTGCTGCTGCTTTACCACATCTCGTGTCCATGCTGATTGCCCCCGAGGGAGACCCGGATGCACCAGACATCCCGACCCCACGCTCCTACGCAGAGGCGATGGAGGGTCTCTACTCCTCTCAGTGGCAGACAGCCATGGACGCAGAGATGGCTTCCTGGAAGTCCACAGGCACCTACGTCGACGAGGTTCCCCCACCTGGGGCGAACATCGTCAGTGGCATGTGGATTTTCAGGGTGAAGCGGCCGCCGGGTTCTCCGCCTGTCTTCAAGGCGCGTTACGTTGCACGAGGCTTCAGTCAGCGTGAGGGAGTTGACTTCTTCCAGACCTTCTCCCCGACCCCGAAGATGACCACTCTTCGGGTTCTGCTGCGCGTTGCTGCTCAGCGTGACTACGAGCTCCACTCTCTTGACTTCAGCACTGCGTTCCTACAGGGCAGCCTGCACGAGGAGATCTGGCTGCGCCGCCCACCTGGCTTCACTGGGTCGTTCCCTCCTGGTACCCAGTGGAGCCTCCGGCGGCCAGTCTACGGTCTCCGCCAGGCACCCCGTGAGTGGCACGACACACTGAGGACTACTCTTGCTGCTCTTGGGTTTGCTCCCTCTACTGCTGACCCGTCGCTGTTTCTACGCACCGACACCACTCTGCCGCCGTTCTACGTTCTCGTGTACGTAGACGACTTGGTCTTTGCTACTGCTGACACTGAGGCACTCGCCCACGTGAAGTCGGAGCTGCAGAAGAGACACACGTGCACAGACCTGGGTGAGCTGACAAGCTATCTTGGCTTGCGGATCACCCGGGACAGAGCACAACGCACCATCACCTTGACTCAGTCACACATGGTGCAGCAGGTCCTTCAGCGCTTCCGCTTCACGTACTCCTCGCCTCAGCCCACTCCTCTGCCTACCGGTCACTCGCTCTCAGCTCTGCCTTCGGATGAGTCCGTAGAGCCGAGTGGCCCGTATCCAGAGCTTGTGGGCTGCCTCATGTACCTGATGACCTGCACTCGACCTGACCTTGCATACCCTCTTAGCATCCTAGCACGCTATGTCGCTCCTGGCCGTCACCGGAAGGAGCACATGGATGCCGCTAAGAGGGTGTTGCGCTACTTGTGCAGTACGTCGGGCATGGGGCTTGTGCTTGGAGGACGGCGCGACGTTGTCCTCACTGGACACTCAGACGCTTCTTGGGCTGACGACCAGGCTACGCAGCGGTCGTCTCAGGGTTACACCTTCAGCCTTGGCTCTGGCTCTGTTTCTTGGCGTTCTACACGCTCTTCCTCTGTTCTCAGCTCCAGTTGTGAGGCTGAGATCTACGCCACAGCCATGGCTTCGCGCAATCATTTTTATCAAGAAATTGGCCGCGAATCACAAGAGGTACGATGCCCTACCGCGGTTGTTTTCGAAGTTTTATTCAACCGTGGGTCGTAACACTCTTGACTGGATTTTCACGCAGGATGTTGAACATTTTCAAGACAAGTCGCGGATTCTTGGACTCGAAGGTGAAGCCCACGGTCGAGTCCGCGATTTGTGCTGCTATTGGCCTTGAAGCCGCGGACGACAAAACGGCGGTGAAAGGGAAAGCACTGAAGGGGCTATACGCGGGCGCGTTGGCGTTCGGTTGTGCTGCCATGTGGAGCTTCACCTCGGCTTACACTCGCGGGAACACGACGGGTGGTGCGAAAACGGCCTTGGAAGGGGTTATCGCGGAGCATCGTGCTGCTGCGCTCCAGAGTGCCTCGGTCGCTGCAAAGCTGTGTGGCGCGAGCGCGGATGATTTGTCTTGTTTGAAAGCTTGCTGGGCAGACATGTACGCGACAATCCGGAAACGCTAAGGTGCTCAGATGCTGTCCTCGGCTTCTGTTGAGAAGAGTGTGCTGAGTGTATACACCGATCCAGACGACAAGATAGTTCACGTTTCCGTGCCCCTGATGGTCAAAGTCGTGGCCAAATGGAACAACGATGGACCTGCGTGGCCATCCTCGAAAGGCGTGGGCCCTTACCTCGACTGCGAGAAAGCCCGTCAGGCCGCGAAAAAGAGGGGGACGCGTGGGAAAGGCAAGAAAGGGGACGCGGGCGATAAGGTTGGAGGAAGGGCGAGGAGGCAGAGCACGATGACGAGGACGACAACGAAAACGACACGACTATGTTGGGCGGATCCGAGAGCAACGAGGAGTTGGCCTGAGAATTCCGTGGTTCTGGATGTCGTTGTTAGGTATTGTGCTGCGAGGTTTCCTTTTCCGGTTAGTTGTTGCTGCTTATGCTAGTGTGTGCTGGTCGTTCGTTTGGACTCGTGTATTGTGTTTCCGCGTGATTAGGGTTTCTGTGTCAGAACTGCTAGTTAGAAGTTGTACAACTTGGTGGAATATGTTTGTACAAAAACACACGCGGTCACGGGAAAGGTCGAACACATAGTTGGCACGCGCGTCAAGAACTACTGTCTAGGAACACTCGCGGATTGGGTTTCAGGAACCCCTCCGGGTGGGTGTTAAAAATTTCCCGCGGGTGGGTTCCTTGGAATACATTCCCGAGGGTTACCAGGAACACCCACGAATGGGTTCCCAGGAAAAACAGTGGGTGGGTTCCAAGGAACACCCGCGGGAGGTTTCCTAGAATTCCCGCGGGTTGGTACACAGAAAATCTTTTGGCTGGGTTTCCAGGAATCCTCGCGGGTTGGTTCCCTGTACTTCCCGCGGGTGGGTGGGAATTCCCGCGGGTCGGGAATGCCTGGACTTCCCGCGAGTGGGTGGGAATTCCCGCGGGTTGGTTTTCTGGACTGGTGGGTGGGAATTCCCGCGGGGCGGGAATGCCTCGACTTCCCGTGGGTGGGTGGGAATTCCCGCGGGTTGGTTTCCTGGACTTCCCGCGGGTGTGTGGGAATTCCCGCGGGTCGGGAATGTCTCGAAATACAAAGTAGGAAACAGACTACAATGCTAAGCAAGAGGAAAATCAGAGTTTCACTCGAATCAACAGTGTGCTAGTTTTACGATCGAACCATGCAAGCTATTTATTTTTGTGTGAAGAATTCGAAATCAAGAGTGTGCTAGATTTAGGAATACATAATGTCTCGAAAAAACAAGCAAGTTAAACACCAAATTGCAGTCAATTCCAGATTCACGCCAAACTTTCTCAAAAAAAGCAAAACATGCAAAGCTCCTGATACATCCCAGGAGCACTCGATTCACGCTTTGCCACCAGCAGTCGCCTTCCGCTTCTGCCCTCGTGCGCCCTGGGCAAAGTTGAGCAAACCCCCTTGGTACGCGTAAATTGCTGCGGCTGCCAGTTTACCAACACCCGAGCAACCACTTTCGCCAGGCTACCAACATCCGGCTCATCATTGGGTTCGGGATCTATCGTGTCGACTATTACTCCGCTAAGAACCCCATCCCACTCGTTCCGACCATGCACGCTGTCCCTAACTCGACGCAGAGCCTCTATTCCGACGTGAGAAGCCGAGGCTGCTCGACTGGCAAGGCTTTGATCAGCCAGTGTCCCACGGGCTGCCGCTGCGGCACCATCTTCCCAGTCAGTCATCAGAATGCCGGTCGTAGCTGCCCACTAGGTGTACAGAGATGCGGCCACCCCAGCTGCATACACCGTAGACTTGACACCTATAGGGGGAGACTCCGCATCAGTGCTGCCAAGGATGACGGCCTGTCCAATCCCCACGCAAACAGCGATCTCCCAGTGCTCGCCGCGTTTCACGCATGCCTGAAGTTTCTCGAAGACATTCTTGAAGTTGCCAGAAGTGGGATGGAGAAGAACGTTAGTGCCATAAACAAGTCGAAAGCTGGACACGTAAATCGTGTATACTCACTCTTCGTACTTGTCCATGTCCATGTGGTTGAGCACGCTCCACACTCCTGTCAGCAATTTACGCGCGAGCTTGAGGTAGGGATCCCATGTCCCTACTTCGACGGGATCCATCCCGTAATGAAGCATGTCGATCTCGGGATAATACGCCATCCAGCAGATGGCTACGGTGAAGTCACGGCGCCATTTCTCCCTGTAACTCCCCATGTTTCTCTTCTTCCCTCCAACCGTTTGCTCCGAGGAGAATCTCGCCTCCTTCGTCCCATCCTTTCGCTCCCGTTCGCGTTCAAAAAGCCCACATTTTTTTATGTGCTTGGTAACGCCCCACGTTTTGCCCAGTGCGTCGGGCATCCTATCTTTTTCCGCCACATCTTTGACCGCTTCTCCCAACACCGCTTCACGATTCTCCTTCCCTGCCTTAACTTCGGTCTCTGACACTGCAGCATTTTCAGACTCCGCCTCTGCATTGAAGTTGGGCGATGTTTGATCTCTGCGAGGTTTCTTCGAGGCCGGTTGGGACTCTGAATCAGCGTGGACAGTCTTATCCTTTGACTCAACATCCTCCGCCAGATCCACAACTTCAAGTGGCTGTCCAGGGTCCCCAAGAACCACGTGAAGAATCCCGGCTGTCGGACCACGCTAAGAATCGCGTCTCCTCCCTGCCCTTGCCCTGCTGCCCTCTCCACATCCTCCGCCGCAATCTGTTGCCCTTTTCCATCTTCTCCTTCTGCGCCTCCAACTTTTTCTGTTGCCTCTCCTCTTCCTCTTTCGCAGCTTCCTCTAACTTTGCAAGTTCCTCCATTTGTGCCTGCATCCTCTCACGCTTTGCCTGGAGCTCCATTTTCAGCTTCAATGCCTCCGCCCGCTTCTCTTCAGCAACCTTCAACGCCTTCGCCTGCTCCTCCCGCACCCTCTTCTCTTCCTCCGCCTTGTGTTTTTCCTCCGCCGCTCTCTCTGCCCGCTGTGCCTCCTTCGCCTGCTCCTCCCGCATCCTCTTCTCTTCCTCCGCCTTGCATTTTTCCTCCGCCGCTCTCTCTGCCCGCTCCGCCTCCTTCGATTGCTCCTCCCGTATCCTCTTCTCTTCCTCCGCCTTGCGCTTTTCCTCCGCCGCTCTCTTTGACCACTCCGCCTCCTTCGCCTGCTCCTCCCGCATCCTCTTCTCTTCCTCCGCCTTGCGCTTTTCCTCCGCCTCTCTCTCTGACCGCTCTGCCTCCTTCGCCTGCTCCTCCCGCATCCTCTTCTCTTCCTCCGCCTTGCCTTTTTCCTCCGCCGCTCTCTCTGACCGCTCTGCCTCCTTCGCCTTATCCTGCCGCACCCGTTTCTCCTCCTGTGCACGCTTGCGGTCCTCCTCAGCCTTTTTGCGTTGTTCCGCTTTCCTCTTCTCGACCAGGGTTGCACGCAACCTTCCTGCCTCCACGGCTGTATTCGCCGCTATCCCGCTGCTAACAACAGTCCCAGACCGATCCGCCCCCCCTCGGATTCCCCACCCCCACAACAGCCCGACTCTTCTCTGCAGCCGTTGCTTGCGCCGTCTGAACTGCAGACCGCTTTCTCGCATCGGCCGCCCTCCTCTCGTCACTTTCCTTGTCCTTCTCTTTCTGCAACTTCTTCGCCCAAAACGTCTCTCTCCAGTTTCTCACCGGCCCAGACAAGTCAAGGTCTGCCACACCAGCGCTTGCCTCTCCCGCCCCACCCGCATCACCCGCCTCACCCTCGGATGTTGCGGCAAACCTTGTCAGAAATACGAGCGAGAATGAATTGATTAACAACAGGATGGGTACACGTACTAACCCTAATTGGGTTGTACCCCATATGGGCTACCCCACTATAGCCTACACAAGACACAGCATATCAGTTTGACACACCCCCTTTGGCAAAGTGGGGGAGAACAAGAGGTCACAAGACCAGTCAAGAAAAGAAAAGCAAGCTCAGGGTGGATCACAAAGTCACCACACATTCTGAGATGTGCACAAGGCCTATAACAGTACAGAAACGCTGATGATCACAAGGCTGAAGTGCCTTGGTGAAGATATCAGCTGTGTTGGCCTGAGAGGCCATGTAAACAAGATGAAGCTGACCACGCTGCTGCAACTCTCGAGCAAGGAAGTAGCGTAGAGCAATGTGCTTCGTTCTGTGCTCCAGTCTGTGCTCCTGACACAAGGCAATCATGGCCTTGTTGTCGACGTACAGAACTGGAGGAGAACGAGACGGCTCTCCCAAGTCGGTCAGCAGGTAGGTGAGCTAGCGTAACTCCTGTGCAGCCATGGCCCCTGCGTAGATCTCAGCCTCACAACTGGAGCTGAGAACAGAAGACGAGCGGGTAGACCGCCACGAAACAGAACCGGAGCCAAGGCTGAAGGTGTAACCCTGTGACGACCGCTGCGTAGCCAAGTCGTCAACCCAAGAAGCGTCTGCGTGACCAGTGAGGACAACTCGAGCCCGTCCTCCAAGCACGAGCCCCATGCCCGACGTACTGCACAAGTAGCGTATCACCCTCTTAGCGGCCTTCCAGTGCTCTGGTCGGTGTCTCCCGGGCGCAACGTAGCGTGCCAGGATGCTAAGAGGGTAAGCAAGGTCAAGTCGAGTGCAGGCCATCAGGTACATGAGGCAGCCCACAAGCTCTGGATACGGGCAACTCGGCTCTACGGACTCATCCAAAGGCAGAGCTGAGAGCGAGTGACCGGTAGGCAGAGGAGTGGACTGTGGCGAGGAGTACTGGAAGTCGAAGCGCTGAAGGACCTGCTGTCAAACTATATTTATATAGTTTCTATATGTTAGTCTAGGTGTTGTACAATTTGTTAGACTTGTGCTAGGACACTTGCTAGGGTTTCCTATATCTTGTTTGTTCATCCTTTTCCTTAGTATATTTCTCACGCTAGTTAGTTCTTGACATGGTATAGAGCTAAGCGATCCGATGGGCCCACCGCCCCGTGACCCGACCTAGCCCGAAGCGCCCTAAGGCCCGAAGCGCCCCGGTAGCCTCGTAGCCCGTGCGTCACCCGTTTTCCGCCCGTCGCGTCACCCGTTTAGGCCCTCGCGTCACCCGTTTCTGCCCCGCGCGTCACCCGTTTGTGCCCCGCTCGACTTGCCCGCCAGCCCGCTAGCGCGCGTCAGACCCGCGCGCGCAGCCCTAGACGCACGCGCACCCACGCGCACGTAAGTCGCGACCTATCGCGAGTAGGGGAGGAGCCCGCTTCCCGCGCCCGTCGCCTCACACGTCGCCCATTCGGGCCGAAACCGTCGCCTTACCTGGAACCCGTCGAAACCCACCTCCCCACCGGTTAGAAATCGTATCCACCGGTCAGAAATCGTCACCACCCGCCGCCCCACGCGTTAGCACCCTCCTCACGCCCTGAAACCGCCGCGCCACCAGTTTGCACCCTCCCCACGCCCTGAAACCCGCCCCCCACCGGTTAGAAATCGCCCTTACTCGTCGCGCGCCACCTTACCCGCCACCCCAACCGTTAGCACCCTCCCCATGCCCTGAAACCGCCGCCCCACCAGTTATCACCCTCCCCATGACCTAAAACCGCCGCCCCACCTGGTACCCGCCACCCCACCTGTTGCCCCACCCGCCGCCCCACCTGGATAGACTAAAACCGCCGCCCTACCTGTCACCTGCACCCTGAAAAGCCCCCAACCGCACTCCACCGCATTCAACCGCACAGTACCGCACTCAACCGCACAGTACCGCACTCAACCGCATTCAACCACACAGAACCGCACTCCAACGCTTTAGACCGCACCAGTCAGTACCCCTCCGCACTAGCTGTACGTACTCGACTATGTCTACCTCGCGAATCCTCACGTTTGATCCAGAGGGCCGCCCGGTCGATTTTCCATGATGGCTTCGCAAACTTAAGCTGTACCTAGGGTCTAGAATCGAGAACGACGTGCGCCTGCTGGAGCACGCCACCGGCAAGCTCGTTGCCCCGAAGGATCCCGACCCCCTAGGTGCTTCCCCGTCGGAGGTGGATGAGGCTCGCTTTGAGAAGGCGCAGTTGGCGGCCAGTCGCTGGGCGGCGCGAGACGACGCTACCGTGCTCGCCATCACCGACCTCCTGCCACTGTCTGAGCAGCATCACTTCGAACAGGAGGTGACAGCCAAGAGCCTTTTCGACGCGGTAGTCAAACGGTACTCCACCCCGACCACTGCGTCCCATGGTCGTCTTGTGCTGCCCTTCCTTTTCCCCGACCTTCCCTCGTTCCCGCGTGTTGCTGACCTCATTCTGCACTTGCGCTCGCTTGATGCCCAGCTCCGCTCTGCTGCCCCTGACCCCGACCTGTTTGCCACCAGTCCCCCCGCGATGTGGATGACACTGTACCTCCTTTCCACCCGCCTCCCTGACCGCTTTGCCACTGCTCGTGACCATTTCCTCACTGTTAACCCCATGTCCCTCACTATTGACCTCTTTGCGGAGAGGCTCACTTCTGTTGAGGACCTTGCCCGCTCCCTTGCCGCTGCCTCTAGTACCGTCCTCCCCCCCATCTTCGAGTGGTGTGCTCCTTCGTTCCTTGCCTCTTCTGTCGACTCGGCCTCTGTTGCCACTGCATCCGAGGTTGCAGCTGTTGCCTTTGGCAACAAAGGGGGCAAGAAGAGCGGTAAGAAGGGAGGAGGTGGTGGCAGTGGTGGGGGTGGCGGAAGGGGCAGCGGTGGAGGTGGTGGAGGGGGCGGTGGTGGAGGTGGTGGAGGGGGCGGTGGTGGGGGGGGGGGGGCGGGAGTGGTGGTGGCGGCGGCGGAGGGGGTGGGAGTGGCAGTGGAGGAGGAGGTAGTGGGGCGTCCCAGCAGCAGCAGCCCCAGCAACAGCACCACCACCAGCAGCAGCAGCAGCAGCCACAGCAGCAGCGGCAGCAGCAGCTCCAGGGCCAGTGCCAGCAGACCCAGCAGCAGCTGTGGGGGCCGCCTGGACCAGGGAGCTCAGTCAGCAGCAGCGGCCCACCCAGCTGGATGTCGCGTGGCCCGGCCCAGCACCCCCCCTGCCAGTACTGGGTGCAGACTGGGCCGCGCAGAGACCGCATCTGTGGCCGCTTTCACCCTGCGGGCCAGTGCTTTGCGCAGCTTACTGACCGCTACCGCGCCCAGTTTGGCCTCACCCGCTCAGCCCCAGACTGGGCCCCACTGGTCCGCACTGTTGGCACGCAGTTGTATCGCATGTCAGCTGCAGAGTTAGACGCAGAGTTAGATAATGCTGTACGATCTGCTTCTGTGATGTATGCTGATGACTCTAGTGTTGATCGTTCCGGCTATTACTCTTGTTTGTCTAGCTTAGGTGCTGTAGAGGTTGCTAGTGTTGTACCAGCTAGAGTAGCTTGCACAGGTCCGACCACCCGGCCAGCGTCCCTTTCGTTCACGCTCGACTCTGGAGCGTCCAGCTGTTTCTTTCGTGACCACACCGACCTCACGCCGCTACGCACCCCGGTCACGGTCGCCTTGGCTGACCCCTCAGTGGGAGCGGTGGTTGCCCACAGCACCACTACTCTCCCGTGTCCGGCGGCTCCCTCTGGGGTCCTTACAGGTTACTACACCCCCTCGTTCTCCAGGAACTTGGTGGGTGTCAGTCACCTCCACGACCTCGGAGTAGTCACCACTTTTCCTTTACACGAGCCTGTTGCTTCCTGCACAGACAGTGTCACTGGGGCTCCTCTGGCTACTTTCCCCAGGGAGCCGGGCTCTGGTCTTTACTCACTACACTCTGGGTCTCGCCACACTGGTTCAGGTCAGGTCAGGTCAGGTCAGGTAGCTGCTGTGTCGTGCGACTGTCGGTCACTCACCCACCCGTCGGTCCTCTGGCACCACCGTCTAGGTCACCCGTCGTTCCCCCATCTTAGTAGGATGGCACGTTACCGTCTGGTCTCCGGTCTCCCAGAGTCGCTTGCACCGCTTCCCCGCTCGCCTGCGCCGCCGTGCACTCCCTGCGTCGAGGGTCGGCAGCGCGCTGCCCCTCACTCCTCCTCGTTCCCCCCTACCACGGCTCCCTTCCAGACCCTGCACTTGGACGTCTGGGGCCCCTCCCCGGTCCTTGGCCCACGTCAGGAGCGCTACTTCCTGATTGTGGTGGACGACTACTCCCGCTACACCACGGTTTTCCCCTTGCGACGGAAGGCCGACGTGCCTACCGTCCTCGAGCCGTGGCTACTAGCGTGGGGTGGCGCCCAGGGCCTGTGTGGGCTCCGCCTACACTCGGACCGTGGTGGTGAGTTTTCTTCCACTCGCCTGGAGACGTTCTGTCAGGGTCGGGGGATCATCCAGTCTTACACGCTACCAGCCTCGCCGCAGCAGAACGGGGTAGCCGAGCGACGGATCGGCCTGGTCATGGAGGTTGCTCGGACCTCCATGTGCCATGCCGGTGCCCCCTAGTTCTTGTGGCCTCAGGCAGTCCGCTACGCCGCGCACCAGCTGAACCTGTGGCCCAGTGACGCACGGCCACGGGTGACGCCGGTCTCCGTTTGGACAGGTTCTCCGGGCGTAGCAGCTGACTTCCGTGTCTGGGGTTCTCTGGCTCACGTTCGCGCCCCTGGCGCGAACAAGTTGTCTCCGCGTACTCGTGCCTGCGTCTT